CAGCTCTGGTGAACACCTCGTGGCTGATGGCATCACAGTGGTTAGAATGACGGTGACATAGGAAGCCAGAGCTCAAGGCGAGGCCTGTATTGCTCTTTATAACTCCCTCCCATGGCGGTTGACTGAGGTTCCATGAAAATGGTATAATTCCCCTTGAGGGCAATTGATGCCCCCTTGACCCAATTACCTTATTCACCTTTAAGCCTCTTCTTTTAAAAGCCCTTCTCTGCCTTTCAATCTCACCACACTGAAGATCAAGTCTCCCTCATGTGTACATTTGCAGAGCAAACCACATCAGCACCACAGTAGGTGTTAACCACGATGGATGGGTCACATGGATGTAGTTCCCACCAGTGGTTCTGGAAGAGTATGTGTTTCTAAGAAGTAGCTTTGGTGCTAGGGTTCTCACACTTGGGTGTGCATGAACATAAATTAGGTATGTCTCAGAATTCAGGTTTGGGGATTACAACTCTAATGATTCTAATTCTGATTCAGGTAGTCTGAAGTGGCTCTGGGAGTCTGCTTTTGAGATGCTGCCCAGGTAATATTGATGAAGGTGGGCCGTGAATCATGCTTTGGAAAATGTGGGCAGTGAGCGGTGAGTCTTAGGCTGGGACTTAGGAGAAGGGAGTTCCAGCTTTGGGTTTCCCCTCATGTGTATGCAACCCTGAGAAAATTGCTTTCCATCCCTGAGCCTGTTCTCTTTATAGAATGAAGCAGTTGGACTAGATCAGTGAGTCTTGACCCAACTGCATAATGGAGTCATGGAAGAGCTTCAGTAAAATGCCCAGGACAGGCCCCCCTGACATTTCAGCATGTTGTGGTGAAGTGCACACTTTGACTGTGATGTTTAAAAAGCTTCTGTGACCAACTGCTGCTGGCCTTGAGGACTGCTCTCCTGAAAGTGCCCAGGGCTCCTCTGTCCACAGGTTCTGACCCTGGGCAAGGCCATGTAGCTCATGCCTCATTTCTTCATTAATCCATGTCAGGAGTGAAAGGCTTTGGAGTATTAGGATTTTCAAAACAATTGAAGAGTTTCCAAATAACTGAAGAGTAATCATTCAAGCACCAATTTTTAAAAACTTTCATCAGACTTTGATTTTTCTTCTTAGCAAAAAATCTAAAGCTTCTTGATGATTTAAGTGATCACTGCGGTCACTTTTTCATGCATCCTCTCCATAAATATGCATTTGGTGTCCCCTGCGTATTAGGTGCTTGTAGAAAAAAAAAAGTTACAGTGAATCTAAGGACTGAGGGACCACAGGTTAGCAATGATAGTGCAAGCTAATGCTTAAATATTCATCTGTGCTTCTTCTGTTATACCACCCAGTGCTCATGGTAATTCTTTCAGGTAGGTACGGCCACATTCCCACTTTGCAAATGGTGAAAGTGAGGCACAGAGAGATTCTGTACTTTTTCAAAGTCACACAGCCAGTAGAACCCGGATTTGTCTCAGGTTTGATTTTTCCATGGTCTGGGAGAAGACTGTTCCTTCCCAGCGGCTCAGCTGCCTTCCGTGCCCAGTGACCTCTGAGCCCCTTTGGCCTTTCCTACCTCACATGTCCATGTCTGACCCCCAGGTCCCTCAGGAGGTCTCTCACCTGCATCAAGGAGAGCCTGCGTATCTTCATCGACCTGGGAGAAAGAGACAAGGCCGCGGAGGCCTGGCTTGGGGCGGGGAGACTCTACTACCTCCTGCAGGAGGATGAGCTGGTGGAGCTGTACTTCCAGGTTGGTAAGGATCTGCTGATCCAGGCTGCTTGAGGAGGCAGCTGCACCCTCCATACTGTCTGGCTGGAGCCAGAGAAGGGTGATGTCCATGCCAAGAGACTGTGAGAGACTGGGAGAGGGTGTTGGCTGGAGTACACCAACATGTGTCTGTCACTTGCGACTGGGGTGACTGGGAAGAAGTTCTATGTCTCTTCAGAGTCTCCATCTTGAGAGAGCAGGTGTTGAATTAAATCCCTCATTCAGTCATTTACACATTAAGTCCCCGACTTTGCCACATCCAGGCCTTCTGTACCATTATTTACTTCTGTTTCTTCTGTTCAACTTCATGTCAGCTGAAGTTTTTAACATTTGGCTCTACTTTAAACAACGCTATCTGAAATCACTGGTTTGAAGCATCAACAATCTTTTTTTTTTTCCCTGAAGCACATTAAATGCTTATCTATTAAAACATAAAGTGTTTATTTATATACTGCTAAAAATCACATCTAGGATCACCAGATCTCTCACACCTTGATAGGGAAACACTCCACCGAGATTCTCTGGGTCTTCCTCCTGCCCCATACAGTCGGACATGTGGGGAACTCCAGCCCAGGATCGAACTGGTGGCTGTGCTCTTCCTTTGGCCTGTCCAGGGGTGCTCTGGAGGCCCTTCTCCCCACCTTTGACAGCTCTCTGTGTCCACTCAGGCAGCCATCCAGGCAGCCTTCAAGTCGGAGGAGCCCTCCTTGGCTCTCAGACTCTACGAAGAAGCAGGTGATGTGTTCTTCAACGGGACCCGCCACAGGCACCGCGCGGTGGAGTATTACCGGGTAAGCACTGTCCTGTGCAGGAGGCTGTTCTGCACTCCGGCCCAGATGTGGGCAGGCTCACCCTCGGGCTTGGCACTAGTCCTTATCCCCCTCTATTGCTGGTATTTCTTTTTCTTTCCTTCCTTGTCCCATGCTAATGTACTCACTGTCTGTTCAGGGAAGGATCTAATAGACCATCATTCTCAGGCTTGACCTATGATCCTTCTTGGGGCAATACATCACAGTAACTATACCTCTTAGTTGCATGGTACTTGTTAAACCATACTTCAGTGCCTAGCAATACTCCCCCATTAGTACTCGTGTCATAGTGGGATGTTTTAAAGAATTTATTAAAACATTTAAAAATGTATAATACCAGCTCATGAAAACTATGATTTCACAGACATTATGGCAAAGGATGAGGCAAAAGGAGTTGACTTTAAAAATAACACTAATAGGGGGCTGGGGAGATGGCTCAGTAGAATAAGCGCTTCCCTGGAAAGTGCAAGGGCCTAAGTTCAATCCCCGGTTCCGCAAAACAAAAACAAAAACAAAACACTAATTGAATAAGTGTCAAGATATTCAGCAGATATATCAATTGTTGTTTATCACTGACTGAGATTTGGGAAACCTCATCTTATTTGACCCTAAAATTTTATTTATCCAGATGTTTATTCCTTTGTTCGGTTTATTTAGCTATTAAACATTATCAGGTACCCAGCATGTGCCAGGCACTGAGCTAGAGGTCTGGAAGGCAAGAAACACATTCCAGACTATGGAGGTGCTTATTTTCATGTGCATTTTATAAATAAAAAAACTGAAGCTCAAGAAATGAAGTGAATTGCCTAAAATTTCAGTGAAATAGAAATATTAGGAGTGGCCTTTTACTGTCACACACCATGTGCATACTCATAGGAGTGCTTCACAGAGCGTCATGGCGGGCACAGGGGACCACATGGCTGAGAAGTGAATTACTTCCCAGGTCATCTGAGGAAGAGTAACTTCCCTAGTGTGCCTGCAGTTGTCTCAGATTTAGGAGGCCTGATGACCTCAAGTTCTTCAGCCTCTACAACCCAGACAAAGCACCAAGAGCAAAAAGCAGAAGAACAAACAGAAAAAGCATCACTTGGAAAGGTGGTGGCTATCCCCAACCCTGCCAGGAAGGACAAACCTCTGGGTGCAGCAGGTACCGTAGACAAAGGCTCCTGTGCTTGTGTCCTAGGCTGGGGCTGTGCCTCTAGCGAGGAGGATGAAGGCACTCAGAACTGAGCTTCGGATTTTCAACAAGCTGACAGAGCTGCAGATCAGCCTTGAGGGCTATGAGAAGGCTTTGGAGTTCGCCACGCTCACAGCCAGGCTGAGCATAGTCACAGGTAGGTGGTCCCAGCAGTCAGCTGCGCTGCCAGGAGGGACAAACACTAGTCGAGAATAGACAATAGAGCAACTGGTAGTGCTCTGCACTCAAACTTTGTGAGTTCAAATCCCAGGGCCAAATGTCAGGAAGAACTTAATTAAATTACTTAACTTGCATAAACCTCAAGTTTGTCATGAGAAAATCAGGGTTAAAAATAGTGCCTACGGGCTGGTGAGATGGCTCAGTGGTCTAAAGCACCTACTTAGAACAAGCTTAGCAAAGCACAGGGACTGCGGTTCAATCCCCCAGCACCACATGCCAGCCAGCCCCGACCCCAGGTGGGCTGAGCTGGCCACACACACACAAAAATAAATAAATAAAATAAATAAATTAAAAAAAAATAGTGCCTACTTTATGCAGTTGTTATGAGGACCACAGTTGTTATGGTTGTCCACATAAAGGTCACAGCATTAGACACAGAAGTCCCTGGTCACATGTATCCTGTCAGTGTGACCTATGCCACACTAATTATTAACGTGACAGTTGCTGTTATTCCCTCAGTACTCTTATCATATGCAAAGGCAATACTCCATGTTACATGAGCACTGTGCCCTTGGTTTTTAATTGGCTGATTGTTAGCCAAAAGGACATTTTCCCATGAAATAAAAATGTAAATGAAGATCACATTCCTATTACCATAACTTGCAACTTGGTTGGAATAGATTGCATTTACAGCAAAAGCAATGAGAAACAATCTGAATCATTAAGGCAGAGAAAAGGTAGAATAAAAAAGATACATATTCCAAAAAACCCTGATCTTGACTTGGCACTGAGGAAAAGCAGGTATTTTTAGAGAAGCCTTGATTAGAAGGGGGAAGGAGTGTCTTTTTGCAATGATTCTAGAAGGGACTTCCGTCTATTTTCTGGAGTATCTGATGCAGATGGTACTAGACTTCATTTTGTCTAACTGCAAGCTCTTTCTCTTTTTCCTGCCTTTTCCTTTACTGTAGAAACTCGCATCTAGGGGACCTCTTGCTAATCTCAGGAAAAGCCTTGGGGTCCCAGTACCCCTAGGAACCAGAAGGGTGCTGTGTTCACCCCTCATATATGAGCTTCTTTGTGACTGGCTTTTTCTATAACAGAAGGTTTTCTTTCCTTTGGACTTACTTTAATTTTGGCTTTCTGCTGTTTGAAGCTTAAAAGTGATATTTTTAGATGGCATCTCTCAGCCACCTTGCACATATTCCAAAATATGTTTATAAACCTTTGTTCCCTGTAAGAGGTCAGATTGTGTTACGGTGGTTATTTACTTATTAAAACAACAGGCCCACCAAAACCCCAAACAGCAAGTCAGACACCCATTAGAAACCAAAGTTTGAAACAGAATGGGTCTGGGTAGAGTGCATCAACCAGACCCGGTAAAGGAGCTAGGGTGACAGCTAAGGGAGCGCTCTGAAGAGAGGCTTTCATGCTGAGAACACACTTGCTATGCAAAACTATTCCTTGTAAGGAATTCTTAGCTGCTGGTCCAAGCTAGTCTTGTCACCAAGCCCCAGCACAGGGATTTGGAAGTAACTCTGCTGCAGAATCTTGAATTCCAGAGTCATCTATAATAGCAGAACATGTTCTTCAGGGATGACTGACCAGGACACATGGACACTACTTAGCTACTCGCAGCAAGCCCCACATTTTCTTTATTAGGACTGTTCACAGGGGAAAAGTCACTTTCTCTCTCTCTCTCTCTCTCTCTCTCTCTCTCTCTCTCTCTCTCTCTCTCTCTCTCTGTGTGATTATTGAGGCATGGTGGTGTCCTTAGGAGAACATGTCCTCCTTAGGACTGGAGCTCTGCGTGTTCTTTCCTCTGCCCCAGACAAGGTCCCTGACATGTAGTACTCTTTCAGAAAATTATACAGAATGAATGGGTGAATAAATGTGGAGGCAAAGTGCTGGCCACAAGGTATCTCTCTCAGCTTTCCAATTCCTAGGAGATCAGAAGCAGAAGCTGGTGGCCTTTCACCGCCTGGCCACAGTGTACTACTCACTGCATATGTACGAGATGGCTGAGGACTGCTACCTGAAGGCGCTGTCCCTCTGCCCACCCTGGCTGCAGAGTCCCAAGGAGGCGCTGTATTATGCTAAGGTGTACTACCGCCTAGGCCGACTCACCTTCTACCAGTTGCAGGTAAGAGGCAGACAGCCAAGGCTGCGTGAGGGCTGCTGTCTTGCCATATGTTCTCCTGACCTAGCAGTTTTGGGGTAGGGTTGAGAGGACCAGATGGCCGGGATGAGGAATCTTGGCTGATAGGATGGGAAAGCTCGCTTTCCACTAAGCACCCCTGTAGTCTTCAAAGGTGCTCTCATGCCCACCGGAAACAGCCCATAGTCTCTCTTTATTTTCACCCTCCTGAAATTCCTGTCGCTGCTTTATCTATCAGATGCTCTGGGGGATTTTCCTACTGCCTGTGAATTCCTTGAGAGCCTGCAGAAATGCGTCATTCCCTTCCTACCACTCCTGCAAACAACTATGAGTTCCTAAAGCCAAATCCAAATGAGCATTTGATTATACACCCACAAAATGTTACAGATCACCTGTCACTTATTTCTTCTGTGTTCCATAAACCTGTATTTCATGAGACATGTGGGTACATATCGATATTTTTGTGATGATGTATACCTAGGTCCTAAGAAGACTTTAGCTCTGATTTTCCTGCTTGCTAGGCTGTGGTTGTCTAGAGCTCATTTTTCAGTCCCTTCTAGAACCTGTGCTGGTAGTCTTCAGTTCTGTTTCAATTCTGCCT